TGAATGTTAAACTATTATTTATAATGTAAACTAGGCTTGTACTTTACACGCATTCGCATATAGATGGAAAAGATCATCCTCTTCACATGAGCAAAAAAGTCCTTGGCATAACAGCAGAGTGGACCGGTATACTACGGTCTATTTAAACTGACCAGTGTAACCTTTTATATGTTTGGTTGACTGTGTTTTATTTTGATAATGAACAGACTGTGATGTAAGTTTGAATTGCTAGAATATGTGAGGTGTGTGCACGCGAGGCGCCGGTGCGATCAAACAGCTGAAACATAAAAAACTAAATTTTTGGAGTAAGACATAATCCGCAAAAGTCTTTACATCGTAAAATCTTACATCGTGACCATGCTTTTGGATGCCGTTTGAGCCCATGTAGCCTACATTTATGCGGCTTTGTTCTTGGTCACGAATTTCCACAAATTAGGGCTGCAACTAACGATTATTTTGATAATCGATTAGTTGGCCGATTATTTTTTCGATTAATCGGATCTTCTTCTTTCTTTCTTTTTGACAAAAAACACTTTCACATTCTGCCCAATGTCCTTTAAACAAACGTGTCAACTGAATGCTATGAAAATAGTGCTTAACAATTTATTAGACACAGATCATAATAAAGATAAAACACAAATATTTTAGGAATCTGTCAAAAAAAAAAATTAATCTAAAAATGTTATTGTCATTTATTGGGCAAATATCAAACTAATTTGGCTAGTATTTATTCATATATTAACAAGAATGTCCTCCTATGCCTTCCATAACAGCTTGCATTCTTGCTGGCATTGCTTAGGTACTTTTTGACTGTAACTGGGTATCTGAGAAAAAAAACACTATAAAGTGCTTGACTATTTTTTTTCTGCCTTTTTTCATAGATAACAGCAATAATTATATTATAGCATAGAAATAGTCAACTACTGTTACTAAAGAGCTTATGCACATTGGAGGACTTGCCAATACAGAAAGCTAAAAAATGATTATAATCACCAATACTGTTAGTTTAGAGCAGCAGTGGAACAAACCTTACATAAATTTGTTTTAAAAAAAATTAAGCACTGTATTTGAATATAGTTTAAATCTCTACATTAAAAATTAAAATAATAATAAATATAATAAGGACGAATAAAAACAAACTCAGTATGTTAACCAACAGGTAAGAGTAATGTTCTGCAGTAATGTTCTGCAGGAACACGCGTCCACTTTGATCCTGTAAAAGGCGACTATGGAGCATCTGATATTTATATTCAGAATTACACGCTGTATCCCTTTACAGTTCCTACTCTCATAAAATACGTGCACTACATGTTGACTTTTAAACCTAATTTAAAAACCTTATTTATACCTTTTAAATATCAACAACAGATATTTCAGCACAGTGAATGTTTTTGCGCTGCGTATTAACTTAATTGTCTCGTCTCTACTGTGTTGTTCCGTCTGTCTGACGCGCGTCCACGCGCCCGCCGCGCCGGCGCTCATTCAGTAAAGATTTACTATCAGAACGGACTTTTTTGCAAAAGTGGAAGTGTTCGCATGAATTTGTTACATTTACAGATAAGGATATGACCATAAACTGAAAGTTTTTGTGCTGAGGACGAACATGCATCTGTCAAAGCGCCTGAGAGGGCAAGCCATTACGCTAATGCATTAGGTTAAAGCTTAAAATAAAGAATTCTCAAGTTTTGGGCAGCTTGGCTCACGTACTTCTCCCGCAGCATCTCATTCTGTTTCCTCCACTATTTTTAGATGCATTTTGTCCATAATGCGCTATTCAGTAGCTACTGTAATTTGACGCGACCGGCTGAAGTTGGACGTGCACCGTGGGCAGACCAGACTAATCGATCATGAGACTCGTTGTCGATTATTTTCATTATCGATAATAATCGATTTTATCGATTAGTTGTTGCAGCCCTACCACAAATGCAATAATATTTAGGCATTGTTTCTTTTCCTAAATCCTCACCGTCTAACCCTCTAATTTCGCAGGTTTATTTTATTGTCATTCACTCGGAAGGGAAATGAAAGATTTCATGGCCATGAATTAAGAATTTGTTCGATGTATTAATTTGTTCCCTCATTTTAGTTAAATCATGGGTTAAGGAACAAAATTGATGAAACATGGACAGTGGCCACAAATTAATAAGTCTTAGGAACGAATTAACAAGTTGTAGGAATTAATCCTTCCCCCGCAGTGTCCCGCACGGCCCTGCAACCTTCACCTAATTGTTTCAAATATGAAACAATTATCTGGGGAAATGACTGTTACTACATTTCTATTGCATTCCATGTTGAAGAACTTTGTGTTGTTTCTATTTGAATGTACTTTTAAAGTTTAAATCACATTAAAAGCTTAATTTGTAATTATGAGTGAATGATGATGAATCGTTGACATCCCTAGTGTATACATTCCCTAAACTACATTTTTTGTGGCTATTTATGCGTTTAAATGAAAACGAAAGGAGGCAGTGGTGTTTAAATTCGGCATGAAATCAAAATTGAAAATTCTTATTTTTTAAAAATTCTTTGGTTTTCCAGCATCTTTTGCGTATTTGAACCCTTTCCAACAGTGACTGTATGTTTTTGAGTGTATGTAAAATTTTGACCACAACTGTAAGTCAGTACATTTTAGACTTGTATTCCGCAAACATTACTTAGATTAAAGTATTTGTTTCAAATTCAATTGCCCTCGTAATCTTTAATCAAAAACATTAACCTCCCCTCCCCCTCAAAACGACTCATCTTCTCTTCCAGTCATGAGCTATGACTTGAGGGCGGAGCTAGTGACGTGAGGGGTAAACACTGGGATAAATGACAGGGGGAAAAGCTGAAGCTGATGCTTCACTTTATAGAAATCAACGCGACCAGTGCTGATGCGAGCCATGGGAACAGTACACTACCCTTCAAAATTTAAAGGATATTAGGATATTACCACAACATTACTCTTAGGACATCGCAAACTAATTTTTTTTATGAA